ATTCAATTTACCAGATTTTTAGCAACTTTAAATTAAACCAATGAGGATAAATCAGGGTTGTCCACTGATTTTGCAAAATCACTAGATACATTTCATGAAAAACTTCTCTTTTTTTGTTAAAAAATCACTAGATTAATTTAAAACGCTTGCCCCCTACGAAAACTTATCAGTTTTGTTAAGCAAAAAATTCTCAAAGCCCAAGTCTCTTGCTTTGGCAGCCCTGGGATAAATAACACATAGGTATCGATGTTAAGAGCAGGTATCGGTACCAATACCGATACCTGTAGATATCTAAGTATCAAGTACCTGATATCGATACCTGCCCATCATTAGTTTCCACTACCACACGCTTGTCGGCTTGGGCTTGAGAGGTGACAACGTCTTCGTGAGACTGAATAGAATCTACTAATTTTTACTATAGCCTACGGCATTGGCTTGGTAACTTATTAGATCTAAGAACTAGGTCATGACCCACTACCCATGCAACGACTACAAGATCTGGGAGAGCCTTGATCTATGGTTTGAGTTTGTTGTTGTTTTATCTCATGATGATCTCATGGCAGTTTCAGTTAGCAGTAGTCAGTAGTGTGTGTAGTGTTGTTTAGCAGAAGAAGTGCTTCAGTTTCCCTGAAATCGTAAGTTTGTTTTAAACTTTGAGAAGACTAGATCTAGTCTGAGAAGACTAGAAGTAAGTCAAGTGCTTCTTAGAATTGAACAAATCAGAAGAGGAGGTTTGTAGGCTATGCCACCAAGTTATGATAGAGGGGAAGAACAACTCGACGAATCGTTACATTTTTTCCCCCCACTGCACAGTGTAAGGTGTGTAGATCTAAGGCCTAATAAAATAAAGGAGATCCTGTGTTTCCACGTTGTCTAGCAGCCAATGTATTATGGCACGTCCTTTATGTTGCCTTTTATGTTAATATTGTTTTTGTAAAATTGTAGTTTATGAATTAATATAGATCTCTAAATCTATGGCCACAATTTTGATGTCTTGTTTTTTTTCTATGCTGCGCAGTGGCAGTGTGTCAGTGCAGTGTCGGCATTTTAAGACTCCAGGTCAAGACACATTTCACTCAAATATTGGCTCAGCGCACAGGACCAAGAACCTCCAAAAGCATTTTATAATACCATTATATTATATTATGACATTTTGTGTACTGCTTTGTGTACTGCTATGTTGTAGGAATTCAAGTTAAACAATAATAGTCTAGTTTTATTAGAAATGTTGTTTTCTTCTATTTTTATTTTTATACTGAAAACTCTTTCCCAAAGATTCAGCTATAACTCCAGAGATTAAATTAGATTAAGGTTGTCAGTTATGGTTGTTGTGTTTGTTTTCCTCCCATCCGATGTCTCTTTGTATTAATAGAGGCTAGATCTATATATATATACCTCGAGTTGTTTAAATTTCCTACATCTGCATGATGCACTGTAGGTTCCGCCTTGAATGCTGTGAAGACATGAGCTCATTTAAATCTTGTGTCGGAGCATTTGTTTTATTGAGGGGCTCCTGTCTGTGCTGTTCCAATTTATCATATATAAAAGAGTTTTGCAATGACTGTCCCATATGACTGATCTCCTCTCAGAAATAATGTAATCTGATACGTACCCTACATATTAGCCCATATATATGTCATGTCTCCACAGATGAATGAACAACACCAGTGAGAAAAGAGCCCTCACTTTTAGGATTTCACTTTGAAAGAAATAACAGCTGAGATCAAAACAAGCCTAAGAAATGGGGTATGTTTAAATGTATGGGTGTGAAGGAAGAACTGTGAATTTGGCCTTTTTTTCAAAAACGTATAATTTATAAACTGTATCTTCAATATTGTTTTCTGTAAAAATATCTCAATGTTTGATCAAATGATCTTTTCAAGCAAAGTAATTTATGTAATATTTTGATCAATGGGCCATTTTTTTGTTTATTTCTTACATCGTACAGTATTTTACGTCTCATTCCAGTAAATTTATGAAAACTGGGTGCTCATGACAAAAAGTGTTTTCACGTTCTGATATGTTTCATTTTAAACTCGCAAAACACTCATATTTTGTATGTTACTGAATATACAAGCACTCATACACATATATGTGAGGCAGCGTGGAGGAATAAGGCTCTCGTCAAACTTTTGGCATGTGTAGAGTTATCGGTATCATCTTAAAACTTGTTCACTTGTCTTTATTTGGTTGAAAAAAATATATATTTATCTTGAATACAAGTAGAGATATTTGTGAATGAAGAAAGTGGGGGTCACCTGTTTTTAGAGGTAAAATTAGTGAGAAAATAGCCGCCAAAGATTAGTTATTTCCTTAGCTTAAGAGTCCGTGGTAACTGAACATTTGCATTTTTTGTGCTTTTAATCAATGTTTTTCAGAAAAATCCACACAGACATTTTAATGGGCATGAAAGGTGTTGAGCCAAAAAACAAAAATTTGATAAAAGTTCACAAACCTGCGGAAAAATGCAAGTTTCTTCATTTTGATTATTTTGACGAGAGCCTGATTCCACCGTGCCGTGACACATATATAATATCAATAAACATGGTCGACATACAAACTTTTGTATCCCTCTTCTTCATAGTTTTCCTTGCATCTTTACCAGAAATGGTGTGGGGTTTTTTCTTTGCCTCCGCTCCAATACACATAACTCTATGTGTAATGTTTGATCTGGTAGTCGCTTTTCCTTCGCGGGGTTGCTTTTTATCTTTTCTTATCTACAACATCCTGATCCGTTCATATTTTTGATACATGCTTCCTGAAAAAATCTCTCTCTTTTTATCTGATTCTAACTTATCTGATTCTATCTTACATAATATTTACTCCCTGTGTTATTTTTTTCTCTGAACTCAGGGATGATTATGTGCTGAAGGACACAACTGGGAAGGTGAAGTTGGAGAATCTGAAGATCAACGAGAACCCCAGATTTATTACTTATCTCTACCCAGGATTCGGTTATGGCGTCTATGATCGCAACAGTAAGTTTTCGAGAGAAAGCTTAAGTGTTTTCTGTGCGTGATTTTTACTCACCCAAGACTTTGGGTTCATATTTTTATCCTTGAACAAAAGATCGGATAGAAAGTTAAGACAGATATATATGACTAAAGATTTGTTGATATCTATCTCAGATTGAAATAATGCAATTCTATTGGTCTACATAATCCCAAAAGAAGTTGGCTACATGTACATTAACATTTTCAACCAGAGGGCTTAAAGTACCCAGAGTGATAATATGTGAAGCAGCGTGGTGGAATCAGTCTCTCTTTAATTTTTGGGCATATTGACTTATAGGTATCATCTTAAAGCTTGTTCATTTGTCTTGCTTTCAATGAAAAAATTACCCATCCACCTTCAAAAGAAGTGGAGATATTTTCGATTGAAGGAGGTGGGGGTCACCTGGTTTAAGAGGTAAAATTAGCGAGAAAATGGCCGTCAAAGCTTGGTAAATTCCAAAGTTGGTGAGTCAATGGAAACTGTAAATTTATATTTTTGTACCTTTAATTAACATTTGCGGTAAAATCCTCAAAGGAATGTGTTTGTAAACGGACATAAAAGGTGTTGAGCCAAAAACAAAAATTTGATAAAAATTGCGAAGCAGGGAGAAAACTGCTGTTTTCTTTGATTTCATTCTTTTGACAAGCGCCTGATTCCACCACGCTGCCTCACATATATACTTCTCTTTCTATAGAAGTAAATTATCAATCTTAGTGGGTGACATGTATCAGTGTTATTAATGTGTGAACATATTCACAATCTTGTACACTAACATAAAATAGACAATGCCATTTAAGTTCTCCTGTGAAAGTGTATGTGTTTAACATCCCTATTAACACAATTTTATTTTATTTCGGTTTATTGTTGTTTTTAGAATAACTGTGTTCGATAGAAGTTTTAACTGGATTTCCCTGTAATTTTTTTTTTTCACGTGTTTTGCTTTTGTCTTCTTTTCAGATCTTCCAGGAATTCCCCAACTTTTGCTTTATCTGGTCGAGTCGCGGTCTTCTGGGTTGTATAACATTAAGGATAAAAATGGAAAAGGTTTTCTCGACTGGTTCGACGTTGTGAAAGATGGCACGTCTTTTGTTGGGGCCGCGGAGATCGAAATGTCCAGAGGACTGTACGAAAGATCGCTTAGATCGTCAAACCTGGAGGTCAAGGTCTCCCTGGGGCAAGTCGGAAGGACATCTTTGGTCGTAGCCTCGCAGCTATTTTCTCCAGGTGAGTCCACGCCAGTGGTGAGCCAGGTGTACCGAGAGGTTCTCATAGACTCTGCTTCAAGAAAACCCGCCGTTATACCCACGTGGTTCCGAGAAAGATTTGAGGGTAAAGGAACGTTGGAAAATGTTCCGTTTGTAGTGGAGAAGTTTGAGAGACCCACAAGAACCTTTATGCAGTCCTTTACTATATCGTGGCTGGATACAGATGCCAACGGCCACACAAACTTCACCATCTATCCAAGGTTTGCCATAAACGCCTTGCACCATGCCCTTTTCCTGAAGTCCAAGTCTTTAGGAGACAGACACAACAAGGGAGACGAAACCAGTTTCCAAATCTCCGAGTCCCTTCAGAAGTCGTGGCATGGCGACTTATCAGCTGTTGATGGGATGTCTGAGGAAATCGTTAAATGCGGGTTGAAAAATTTCAAAATTAATTTTATTAACGAGTGCAAGCAAGGAGATACTGTGCTCACTCATATCTGGACGCCCGACAAGGGCAAGTTTCTAATAAAGTGTTCGATAGAGAAGCCAGATGGAACTCGTTTGTGCCAGATTGTTCTGGAATATTTTGGACCAAGCTCACGTTTATGATAGTAAAGCTCTAGTCTAGTGTTTTATTGGATGTACCCAGGATTTCTTTCCAAAGATGTTGTTATATATGAGGCAGCGTGGTGGAATCAGGCGCTCGTCAAAATACTCAAAGTGAAGACATTTGCATTTTTCCGCAGGTTTGTGAATCTTTATCTAATTTTTGTTTTGGGGCTCAACACCTTTCATGCCCATTAAAGAACTCATTTCTTTGCGAATATTTCTGAAAAACATTGATTAAAGGCACAAAAAATGTAAATTTTCAGTTACCACGGACTCTTAAGCTAAGGAAATAACTTATCTTTGGCGGCCATTTTCTCTCTAACTTTACCACTGAAAACAGGTGACCCCCACCTCATTCTTTCGCAAATATCTCGACTTGTATTCAAGATAAATTAATATTTTTTTCATCTAAATAAAGACAAGTGAACAAGCTTTAAGATGATACCAATAACTCTACATGCCCAAAAATTGACAAGAGCCTGATTCCACCATGCTGCCTCACATATGTGATGTTACTTACTATTTATTTGGATTTTCTTTTTCATATTTTTCTATTCTAATCAATTTTTCAGAATTTGGATCTGATTTTTTTTACAGGACCCTTCAGATTTTGCGACCTCCATGCTTTCTTGTCGTATCTCCTTTTTTAATAACAGTGAAAACAGTTCATAACAATGAGTGAGTCTAAAAAGAAGTCACATTTTCACTCTTTAAAAAAATGGAGATTCGACTTATTGATGTTTGTTTTCTTGCTTACTTAAATACGTATAAGGGGAGTTTTGATCCTCAGCTGAAGCCATACTCGGATAGTGTATTTAATGTGATTTTTTTCTATGTTTGTGTATCAGTTCACAATGAAATACACTGGATTCCACTTAAATCGAACTCAATTAATCTGAAAACAGTGGTAAATTGAAAGAAAATAGAATCTTCACAATTTACGCAATCTCTCTAAATCAAGAACATGGCTAAACTGAAGAAAATCCAATGGTTCTGCAGATTTCTGTTTAATATAATAATGAGCATGACATCAATGAATCAGCCCATTTACAGTTCTACTGTGCATAAGAACAGGTTAATGTCCCCCCCCTTTGGGAATGACCTAAAGACACTTCAGTCAGTAGCACAGTAGCACCGCCCGGGGGGGGGGGGGGGGGGGGGGGGGGGGGGGGGGGGGTTGAGCAACTCTGAAAACAGTTTCCAGTTTACGCATTTAACGCTTTGCAGTCATGCAGCCAGCAGTACAAAATACTCCATCTGGTCACCCAGCGAGGAGAGTGACTGGAACCAACTGCTTGGATAATTTTCACTGGCGCATTATTGTGCCAAGTGACCGCAAAGTGTGAAGTGGACTTTACTTCACTGTATTTCTTTCCTGACTACCGGAGTGTCACCTTCGCGGAATGGAGTCTTATTGAATGATTGGGTGAATGAATTGATAAGAATGTATGGGAAATGATTTGAAAGGACCAACTGTAGAAGGATGGAAGAGAGAAAATTGAACTATTTATATATAAAGTTGGGCACTGATGATTCAAACAGGTCGGCAATAATTGACCAATTTTGATGTATTTTACACATCCCAAAATGGGATTAAACGATAACGAATAATTAAAGGGATATCATCTGGGGAATGGCAAATTATACGTGATTTCAAGTTTTTTCGATGTTCGTACGTGTTATCTGTGCACAACTGTACGTGGATCAGCGGAGGCTGAGAACATATTCTGTGTACAATTTATGAACAAATGTTGGGGATGGACCTATCAGTTGCATTTTTATACTAAGGTATGTGCATGATTTATACAGGGTTTGAAACTGATGCGTTGATGTTTATATGTATAAAATGTATCATGTGTTAAACTGGAAACTGTTCTCAGAGTTGCTCTGGCCGTTGGACAATTTTTTTCTAATTTTTTAAATTTGGCTCAACACCTTATAAATATCCATAAATTTAAGAACACATTTCTGTGTGGATTTTTATGAAAAACATTGATTGAAGGCACAAATCATGAACATTTTCAGTTTTCAAGGACTCAAGGAATGGAAATTACCAATTTTTGAGACCATTTCTTACTAATTTTACCTCTGAAACCAGGCGACCCTGACCTGATTCAATCACAAATATTTTGATTTTTATTCATCATAGGTGATATTTGCAAGGCAAATGAACAGGCTTTAAGATGATACCAATAACCCCATATGCCCAAAAATTGATGTGCGCCTGATTTCACCACGTTGTGACATATATGAGAGTTTAATGGTAACATTTGAACACAGAATCCCTACCTCAAAGTTACCTATACTGCTGACTTGCAAATGTATCGCCATTAAATTAATTCCCATGTCTATTTACATTCCCTTTCACCAATCAGTTACTTTATTTATGGTCGAAGAAGATTGGTATGTGAGAATGTGCCTTTTTTAATGTAAAAATAAACTTTCTGCAGCACCCTAGGAACATCAGTTGAGACCGTTTTTGTTTTTGTGTGTTCCCAATATTTTTAGATTATATCAAAAACCATGTTTCTCTCTCTCTCTCTCTCTCTCTCTCTCTCTCTCTCTCTCTCTCTCTCTCT